TCTAATTCAAAATCTCGTGTCTTCTATTTGGTGAAATTCACATTCATTTTATCTTTGAATATTCATCTTACTTATTCTCTTTATTTTTCTTGTTATGCTTACTAGACATGTTAGACATCTTCATTCTTTTATTTATTTATTTTACTTCAATATTTGCTATATGGTGCATGTGCTCACAGGAGACAGAGTCAGAGAGGAAAAGTGAGAAAACACCCCCTCTGGGGGCATGGTCATGCCACAATCCCTTTTCCATTCTCTTCTTGGGATTTTGGTCATTCACTCACTCACATCCAGCACGACTCTCAATCCGTGGGATCTGGGACTCGAGCTGCACAGTCAGCCATGTGGGAGTCAGTCACCTTAACCTCCATGCCATATTCTGTCTTTCACATCTTGTAACACCTCCAATATTATTCCACTTTGTTCTGTCTTTACTTCAAATTCATGTTATGTCTTCCTATATATTTTTGGTTTATTAATTTTCTCTCAGCTGTGTCTAATCTGCTGTACAATTTACTAAGTTTTTCATCTGAACCATTATTGCTCTCTTAAACGGTTCGTATATTTTAAGGGGTTATTTTCCTCTAAGTTGTTCACTATTTTAACCAACATACATTATTTCTTTAATAGCTTAGATACATATTAGAGTTCTCTGTTGTAGTTTCTATTATCTTTATTTCTTCATTTTGCTAATCACCCCCATTTGTTTGGCCTGCTGATTTTTAATTTCTTTTTTTTTTTTAATGGTGGACTTTTGATTATGACTGCAGCTTCTGAGAGGATTTTATGTTTAAAGAATTATTTATTTAATTATTTATTTAATTTAGTTTATTCTTACTATTATTGTTTTAAAATTTGCTATAGAGTATGTATGTAAGTATGCTCACCAGTGGGAGATAGAGAGCGAGAAAGCAAGAAAGCAAGCCACCAGGTCCAGGACTTGAACCAGGGTCAGCCATGTGGGAGTTCAGTACTTTAACTACCATGCCACCTGCTGGCACAGGATTTTTTTTTTTTTAACTTTATTACTTTCTGCCCTGAATTCTGGACATTTCCCTATAGAATTGATCGTGTGTTTTCTATGGTACTAAAGGATAGTAGTAGTAAGAGTAATAGTAGCAGGAAGAGGAGTATCAACAGCATGAAATAACATTTTTGAGCTTCTACTATTT